TGAGAGACAAAGCGCGAGCAGGGAAGGGGCAGAGAGGAGGAGACAGAATCCAAAGCAGGTTCCGGGCTCTGAGCTGTCAGCACAGAGCCCGACACGGGGCTCGAACCCACGAAGTGCAAGATCATGACCTGATATGAAGTCGGACACTCAACTAACAGAGCCACCCGGGCACCTCTTGAATCCGGAAGTGTAAGTCTTTAACCAAATTTAGGATATCTCCAGTCATTATCTCTTCAGGTATTTTCTCTGCATCATCTGTTTCTCCTCTCCATCAGGGTCTCGTGACACGAATGTCCAACCTTCTGATTCTGATACTGCTCCGTATGTCACTGATGCCCCTTATTTTCTCAATCCTTTTCACCCTGTAATTTATATTTACCTGTCCTCAATCTTACTGACTCTTTCATTTGTCATCTACTCTGTTACTGAACCCATTCAGTGATTTGGTTTTTATATTTCAGATACTGGGTTTTTTATTTTGAAGTTCTAAAGTCTTCTTTTTTATACAGTTTATGTCCATCTGCTGAAAACATGTTCCATTCATTTCAAGCATATTTACCTTTCCCTCGTGGAGGATAGTTACAATATAGCTGCCTTAGGGTCTTTGATAATTTCAACATCTGGGTCATCTCAGGGCTGGTAAATGGAGATTGTCTCTTCCCTTGTGAATCGGTCTCATTTTCCTGGTTCTTGGTGTGTTGAGTAATTTTGGATCATAGGCTGTACATTTGCAATACTGCTTTTTGTTTATTTTTGTTTTTGAGACACTGAGTCCTGTTACTTTCTCTGGAGAATGTCGGAATGGTGCTTTTTTGTTGGCTTAAAGCAGGTGGTCAGGTTGGTTGAATCACACATTCCTTCCTCCTGTGTTCAGCGGTTCCAATGCCAGTTCAGTTTTCAAAGACTTTGCTACATATCTGAGTGCGGCCCATGGAGGCACCGTTGGGACATGTATTCGTTGATACGCAGAATTAGGGGAACCCATTCCCAAGCTCCCTCCTCTCCAGAGTTTCCTCCACACTCCCCAGGTCCCCTTTTCCAGATTCTTCCGCAAGATGAGATTCTCTAAGAATGTCTGTCCCGCCCCCAAACCCGCTGCAGGCACATTTCTTTATGGCTGGGCCTCCTCTGGAGTGAAGAGAGAAAAGACAGAGGGAAACAAATCATTCTTCACACAGCAGGGACCCTTTGTCCGCGTTCCTCCATCCAGAAAGTGGGTCTTCTCTCAGGATGTTAGGTGTCCACGCCCCCTCCCCCACCATGGCAATGAGCTTCCTCAATGGCTCTGGCCTCAGGGTAGGACTAGGGAGAAAAGGAAGAAAAATGTGGTGATTCTTCTCCCACACTCCTGCTCATAGGGGCCACTGTCCTGGTCTTCTGGCCATAAACACTAGTTTTTCTTGAAGGTTTTACTGTCTCCACCTGTTACCCAAGGCCCCGCTTCGGCTGGCCCTCAGCCCAAGGCCAGTAGATAAAGGAGATTAAAAAAACAAACAGGAAACCACCTCTGCCATACTGGTTTCTCTTCATGTTTT